ATCATTGGTTTTCTTTTTTCTCTTCAACAGATATACCAGCCAAGATACGAAAAAGAGGCCTCATTTTTAGCCCCATTCTGGGAGCCCATATAATAAGTACTGGAGTGTAAAGCTGGGAAGAGGGGATCTTTTGGCACTGAATGAACTGTAATCAGCAGCCCAGCTTTGTGAAGTCATGTCTCCAAGGAAAAGCTCATCTGAACTTTTCCAAAGTTTCATTGGTATATATCAAATTATTTATATGCTGTCAAAAATTGGCTGAAACCCAGCTATCCACAGCTATCCACAATTACTAGAGAATTCAGCATATGATGTTTCTGGAGCACTTTTCTGCCTTTCTGCAAGGAACTTATCTGGTTATATTAATGATTACGGGCCTCTTTTACCATTCTTTTGCAACAAAATCCTTCTGGACAACACAAATATTGAAAATGTAAATATAGTCACAGATAATAAATGACTACTTTTACAATAGCTTGACTATATGCTGCATTTGATGCGCCCCAGCAGTCTTCTCTTTTTCTTAGTTATATTTGTTAGCAGTGTTTTTCTTATGCAACCATAAATAACACTTTATTAAGCAATTTCTAACACATATTTAATAAGTCAAATACAAATAAAGATCTTAGTAATTAAATTAATGGCATGACTTTCTTGGAAAGAAGTTAAACACATGCCATAAGGAAAATTCAGAGTCTTCAAAGTTGTAGAAAATAAACTTATAGTACACACACATGGAATCAGAAGAATAATAGCAATTTGTAGCCCCTCCAAGGCAAAATTTCAGGAGTGGCCTCACTAGCCTTTTACCTAAAACTGATGACTTTAGGTGTCTCCTCTATAACAATACTGCAGCTACTTAGGTTTCATTTAAACCTAAATAGGAAAAAGGAATACACAGCAAATATTTTTCTCCTTTATACTAGAGCAGTGTTTAACCATCAGCAAAGTGAACAACTGGTCTTTAACAATAGGCTGCTTCCTTCTACTGAAAACTCTACTTATACTACTATACTCCAATTATCCTGCAGGTAAGTAAAGTGGATCCGTTAGGGTCACTAATAAACATCTATAAATATCTTGAGTTGATTTCACTGAACTTTGATTTAGTAAATTATAGGCTCACCTTCAGCACCTGAGCTGCACCTTTAACATTCTGTGTTCTGCCTGGTCACAAATGCTCCTGGATATGCCTAGGTAAAAATCACACCCATGATTGCAATATCTATGTTGGGTTTAGTATCATTAACATGAAATCAGATATAGATGATTAAATCCATTTGCAGTTAATACAGATATTAATTCTTGACTTAAAGGTCAAAAATAAAAATATCATTGATTAAATTGCTTTGGTCTTTAGATTTTTATTTTTTCAATTATCTTCAGTTCAAATACTTACAGAAGCACTTAAAAATAATATATTTGAATTTCTGAGAGAAAATGACTATCAGCTATGTCTAGTTATCTTGTTTCTATTTTGCAGAGAAAAAAGAGGAAGACAGAAAATATTTCAGTTTCCTGGTAACATACTCAATGGACACCACAAGAGATTTAAAACAATTATTGAATTGAAAGGATATCAGTGAATACATAACAATTTGATAATAAATATCTATAAACCCCATCAGTCCAAGGTTGCCAAAATTAAAGTACAGAGTAAAAAGTGTCAAGAATCTCCAGAACAAAATGACACTGTGCCTTCTTTCCTGGTGCTGCAGAAAAACAGACTGAATATGTCCTAGGCACAACGAATTTCACTGTCCAGTGAATCTTCTACTAGCCATTTCTTTCAAATGTCAGCAAATTCTTCACAGAGAGGAACACACCAGCCATTTTCTGTGTCCTTGAGACACAGCAAGAAGGATCTGTTCAAGATGGTGACCTAGATTTGGGGAGCAAGAGAAACAAACGGTGATCCCTGTATTTTTAGGAAAAATATCATCTTTATTTTTCCTAAATTGTTGCCTCCAATTCCTACACTACTATTTCAAGTTAAGACTTGGAAGACTGCTGTATTAGTCTGTTCTCACACTGCTAATAAAGACATACCCCAAACTAGGTAATTTAGAAAGAAAAGAGGTTTAATTGACTCAGTTCTATGTGGCTGGGGAGGCCTCATGATCATAACTGAAGGCGAATAAAGAGCAAAGTCATATCTTACATGGCAGCAGGCCAGAGAGCTTGTATAGGGGAACTCCCTTTGAGAAAACTGTCAGATCTTGTGAGACTTATTCTGTCACAAGAACTGCATAGGAAAGACCTGATCCCATGATTCAATTACTCCCACTGGGTCCCTCCCACAATACATGGGAATTATGAGAACTACAATTCAAGGTGAGATTTGGGTGGGGACACAGCCAAACCATATTAACTGTTAATATGCAAATATTTAGGTGAGCAATACCCTTTACACTACCATGGCAAATAGATTTGATCCCATATGACATCTCTGATAAAGTGACAGAAGCTGTCTGTAATGTGCTAAAAAGGCCCTAAGCACCTCACCCCCAGTCAAGCTCAATAGAAAAGAATATTCTTTCTGATTAGCAATGTGGGCACAAGAGAAGAGACTTGGAACGTATAAGTTACATATTTTCTGACTCTGTTGTTTTTCCTCGTCTAGCATCTACTCATGGATAGTAGATGCTTCTGCCAATATCATGCTTTGGGTATCCACCTCTTCCCTAATTTGCATTCCCCCATTTGCATTCCAAATTGTTTGTATCTCTGTTTTTACACATTCAAAATTCAGATCAGGGCCGGGCGCGGTGGTTCACACCTATAAGCCCAGCACTTTAGGAGGCTGAGGCGGGTGGATCACGAGGTCAAGAGATCGAGACCATCCTGGTCAACAAGGTGAAACCCCGTCTCTACCCAAAATACAAAAATTAGCTGGGCATGGTGGTGCACACCTGTAGTACCAGCTACTTGGGAGGCTGAGGCAGGAGAATTGCTTGAACCCAGGAGGCGGAGGTTGCAGTGAGCCGAGATCGCGCCATTGCACTCCAGCCTGGGCAACAAGAGCGAAACTCTGTCTCAAAAAACAAAACAAACAAACAAACAAAAAAATTCAGATCAGTTTGATTAAGCAAGAAATGTGTCAACAATAATCGTATATGTACCCTCCTAGGAACCATGAGGGTGGGCTAATTTGTTGGTGCAGAGAAGGGAGATTTGCTCTAGATTCAGCCTTATAATAAGTGAATTAAAGCCTTAGGAGCTCCAGTAGGGCAGTTGGTTAGCACACAATACTTGTGTGAAGATAAAGCCTTAAAAAAATTGCACTGAACATTCATGTGCCTTGTGAGAACATCTGGCAATTACAGAGCATTTTGCCAAGACTTAATAAAATAAATAAGGAGAATAAAGATCAGAATATATTTCAAGCTAGTACAGTCTTGTTCAATATATTTTTTAATTGGTCAAGAATTATTTAACAAAACCTTATGAGATAATCTATAGCAGCAATTCTTTTCCTCAAAAATTAAAGAAGCTATTTAAAGAGAAGGTCTATCTGCCATACCAACTTTCTAACATGGCCCTACCTAGTTTCTTCAGTAAGGGGATACCTATTGTATTTAATGTACTCTAAAAATACATTTACTTCCATGTTACCATGACCGTTTATTTTTTATTTATTCAATTTTTTTGAGATAGGGTCTTGCTCTGTCTCCTAGACTGGATTACAGTGGCGCAATCACAGCTCAAAGCAGCCTCAAATTCCTGTGCTCACATGATCTTCTGGCCTCAGCCTCTTGCATAGCCAGGACTACAGGTGGAAACCACCACACTCAGCTAATTTTTTTTTTAATTTTTTGCAGACTAGGGCCTCACTTTGTAGTCCTGGCTGGTCTCAACATCCTGGCTTCACTCAGTCCTCCTACTGTGGCCTCCCAAAGTGGTGGGATTATAGACATGAGCTACTGCACCCAGCCCTAACCATTTTTCATGAGCATTTGATCTTGCTATCCATGACGCTTTTGAAGAAGTAAGCCCAGAGTTTGTCAAAAGGGTGTTATATTTTCCATAACACAATTTTTAAGCCTTCTTTAACAGAGCCACTGTGGGGATCTGTGGTTTCAAAGAGAAGTTCAAAGTTTCTCTCTGTTTCATTGCCCTGTATTTTCCTTTATGATACATCACAATCTATATTTATTTTGCTATTTGTTTCCTTGTTTGTCTATGTCATATAGGCTGTTGAGGGCAGGCACCTTGTCTGTCTTTTTCACTATATGTCTCCAACCCAAAGCAGAGTGCCTGGAACAATAATTATGTGTGAAAATAATGCTTAATAAATAAATGAATCTACAAATCAATGAAATAATCCATAAATGAAACTGATGGTGATACAACAGACTGGAGGTGTTTTATTTTATAAGCAGCTCTGTTCATAAATTCCTGAGAGTTCAGAAGTGGAAAGCTCATAAGTAGAGGTGCTTCTGTACTCCTTCCTTCTTATCTTGGACTCAGGATCAATACCCATCTCATGTAGATTCCTGTGTAGCCCCCACTGCCAATGGATTCCTTCCTTCTCTGGAATAAGGTACTAAAGCCAAGGTAGGTTTTCATGCCTCTCTTCGCACTGACCCTGCCTTGGACCCTTTATTCCAGTAAAGCATGTTATGGTACCTTTTTCTCTCACCGTCTTGCCATTTAGTTTATACAAAAGTTTGGATCTTTCTATGCTTTGCCAAGACACACTTTTTATACCATTCATAACATCTGGCCAACAGTTTCTAATAACCCACAAATGCCTTGACATAAGCAACAGCTGATTTCATATTATGCAAGGTTCTAGTTATATTAGAAAATGAGACAATGTATATGAAAGTGTTTTGTGAACTATAAAATCCCATACAAATGAGAGAGATAATGATCATGATAGTTGCTATCATTGTTGTTACCTTAACAAAGACAGAAAAGTCTTTTCACATTCTACCTTTTTGGCTTTTATGAAATATCGAACTAGGTGCTTCCAGAGAATCAATTGTTTCTTGGCATTAAAATGGAAATTTTAATAAAATTGCATTAACTCTTCCAAGCACTGTTACATTGCAGAGGAAAACAAACAAACAAACAAACAAACAAAACCAGTTCCTGTTGACCCAGTTCCACTATTTATCTCAAATGTGAGGAACAGATATTTCTTAATAGCTTGCGTTTTCTTTTTTTTTTCTTCACCTTTTATTTTAAGTTCAGGGGTACATGTGCAGGATGTGCAGGTTTGTTACACAGGTAAACGTGTGCCATGGTGATTTGCTGCACTTCACCCAGGAATTAAGCGAAGCGTCCATTAGTTATTCTTCCGAGTGCTCTCCCTCCTCCTGCCCCTCAACCCTGACAGGCTCCAGTGTGTTTTGTTTCCCCCCACAGTGTAAGCTTTGAAACATACTTTCATTCCCTATACAGAGGATGAACCTGATTCCCCACTTTACACAAGCTACCTTCTTAGAGAAGAGACCCACTAGGCCAGTCAACCCAGCAGTATCTCAGATCACATCAGACTCATTATAAGAGCAGTAGAAGTTGCCTAAACACTTTAATTTGAAGCACATCAAAAAGGTCCCCACATGGTTCTGCCTAGAGTTCTAGCCCTGGGTATTGAATATGTTAAATAATAACCCTCATATCCTGGAGCACTCTCAGCTGCCAAACAAAAGCCATGAGAGGCGAATGAGAGTCCAAAAGTGGATGCATACAGACATGCTTCTTTAGGGCACAGATGTTCCCAGAAAGTATTGAATTGCATCCTAGTAAGAGAGCTAGCCACAGAAAGGATCATATAAGCAAATTCCGGTTTTCCAATTGTGACCTTTACTGACTGTTAAAGAATACTCAGCTCTCTCCCACTACCTTGAGCAATATTACCATTTCCTATTTATTCAGATAAAAGAAAATGCATACCAAGAGCCCCTGACAACTGTAACTTACTAAATGATACCATGTGAGCCTAAATAAGTTAACATAGATTTTACATGTTTAATATACTCTTGTGAAAGACTATACTTACAGAAATAATCTGGCTCATCAGTTTTTGGAAGAAGCAAAGCAGTTTCAGGGCTTATGTTTACAGCATCACATTCTCTCCTACCTTTCCTCCAGTCATGAGAAGTCAGGGGAAAATAATGGAACCTGGTCATAGGCAGGTCTCTGGTCTCTGGTCTCTGGTCACAGGCATCTGAAGAACTTTGTTACTATTATTTGCAAGGATTTGACAGTGACTTGAGGTTTCACTGATGATTGGCATTTATAAAGAAGCCTTTGCATAGCATTGAGCAGGCTGTTAAAAACATGTATAATTTAGCTTTGGTAGTTTCAATAAAGTAGAGGTTAGGTTCTGCCAATGACCTTTCGTGAACTTCTAGGAGAATATAGTCTTATGGTGAGAAGGTAAAAAACAAAGACTATATTTTCCTACTTAGGAGGTAATTACACTTCAGTTTATGTCGTTCTCATGTTCGTGGGAGATCTTTATAATTTACCCCTGTGTAGGCTCTCACTGTGACATTTTTTTCCCCCTTGAGAGAGCTGGTTGTTTGTTTTTTTTTAAACTAGCATCCTTGCAAATTGGGTAAGTGTTGCATTACGGTGGTTTGCAATCCCTTGATAGACTAACGTATTTGAACCTTAGGAATAGCACTTGAAAGAAAGATTACAAATCCCCTTAACTTGCAAGCATTCACTTTCCAAAAATACCTATTTTCAAGGCATGAAAGCACTGAATTTTGAAAGCCCTGGTAAATCCAAGCAAAGTATAATGTACCTCTGCTCAAATGAGTTTAGTGGTGGTCGGGCCTTTAAGATGACGAGGTTTTTTGAGACTTTCTACAGATAGCCAAAGAAATTCGTCCTTCATTCAACATCACAGGGTTCCTCTGCCATCATGGTAATTATACATGTTGCCAACTCAATTAAGATTGCACAAGGAAAGATGATTATTCATTGTAGCAATTTCACTTTATAGTCAGTGGTAAATTCTGTGAGAAAACTTCATCCGGCAACTTTCCTATCCTTCTGGAAGGGGGGCCTTTGGTTGTCAGCCAGAAACATGCAAAACTCTCAGTATAATTCATGCTGCTTATGGGTTAAAAAAAAAAAAAGGCATTTCCAAAGCCAGGGCAAATTAGCCTTTGGCATTGGAACTCTTGATTATTTATCCACTCAGGCACATCTATACAATGAGAAACAACTGTCTTGAAAGGCAATAAAATGTTGCATACAGTTCCCAGGGGCCTATCTGCCTGATGAAGCATTTAATCAACCAAGCCACAGAACCACTTGTGTTCTATATATCTAGCTAGGGGAGGTATATAGAGTGAAACTCATTAAACAGTGCTCAGAACAAACTATTCAGCCCAGGGTTTGATTTTCTCCACAGGCACTCAGGCAAAGTCCCCAAAGTCCATCTTCGAGCTGTTGCGGAGTGTTACCAAACTCCAGCTCCACTTTCTCAGAAAACTCAGGTCAGGAAGGTGTTTGTTTTTTTCAAGCTCTTCCTGAACTCCTAGGCTGTGGTCAGCATCTCATGCTCTCATTTTGCATGCTTTTGTTTTTTTTTTCCCCAATAATAATGCAGTCTACTCAAGTGGGGACAATGGCATTCTTCTCCCACAGCATCTAAAATGATGTTTGGATAGATCGTTGGGTCTTGAAAAGAACATTTTCGTTGCACTGGGCTGGATGGTTTCTTCTGAACACTGTTTAATGGGTTTCGCTGACTACCTCCCCTAGCTAGGTACATAGAATTCAAATGGTTCTGTGGCCTGATTGACTAAATGGGGTTTGTATTTCATCGTACTACTAGCGGCTCCTCACCTAAACAAAATTTCCATTTGCAAATGGGAATATTCTTCTCACTTACATAAACACTGCTTTCCCTTTCTTTTGATTGAGAACCTTCCTTCAACTCAAACTTTTTCCAACTCCTCTGTATACACGATGCTTCTGGATTCTGAAGTCTTATAAGTCAAAAATTGAATGCTTAAAATTTTTTCAGTGTACCATCTTTCATAGACACAGAGTAACCATGCATCAGCACAAAAGCACAAGCACTTGTTTACATAGCGGTGCTTTGTATATAAGAATGAAAGGGAAGGCCAGGTACAGTGGCTCAAAGCTGTAATCCCAGCACTTAAGGAGGCTGAGGTGGAAGGATTGCTTGAGGCCAGGAGTTCAAGATCAGCCTGGGCAACATAGCAAGTACCTGTCTCTACAAAAAAAAAAAAAAAAAAAAAATAGAATAAAAAGTAAAATATTTTTTGGAACACAAGCTGTTCATCCATTGAAGAGTCTCTGTACAAATTATCTGGTCTCCTTATTGTCAGGAAGCACACAGAACTTTCTTTTATGTATTTGAGTATTACATATGCTTTTATTTAGAGAAAATTCACAGGCTTTGCAATGAATTCTAATACCAATTCCCAGGACTTCTCACTCTGGATCTGTTAATAATCCATTTGGTCGTTTTAGGTGTACCACTAGGTGCACTAATATACCCTTGAGATAATCCCAGATCTACTGCTTATTAGTTGCATGATTGGCCACATTATTTAACTCATTGCTTCAGTTTCCAAATCTGTGAAATAGAAATTGCAATAGCAATTACTATAGGTTATCAAGAGGATTAAATGAGTTGCTAGGTGTAAGGCATGTAGAGCCTGGCACTTAGTCTGAACTCATCAAATATTAGCTTTTTTTTTTTTTTCCAGATCTGGGTACATTCTCCTGTGTCCTTCATAAATTTTGTTCCTTTCCAGCTGAGAGTAGTGGAAGGATGCCAGTTCTTAATTCAGGGCCCTTAGCAATAAGTCTTTGGCCTTTTGTTAATGTACTCATTCAAAATTCAGGCTTCGAGTGATGACGCTGTATTTCTATCAGCTCCACATAGACTGAGAGATTCCTAACGACAGGAACTCGATCCTAAACTTGTTTCTATGGCCCACCATGTCTAAGGCAGTGTCTCACATGGAGTAAGAGCTCTATATTTATTTTTGTTGATTTTTTTTTTTTCTGTTCCTTCGTCTCTGGTTGCCCAAGGCTGATTACGGCAGCATTCCACGCTCTTTCTCCTCTTCCACACCACGTGTGATTTGGTCTAATAGAGGTTACAAAGCCTGTAAGACATACAACAAAGGACATATCAGTAACTAAATATGTGATCCTTACCAGAACTCTTATTGTTTAGATAGAAGAAGGAGCAAATCAGTTTTTGGACAGCTTTGTGTCCTGGGTTATTGCTGGGCTACTTGTGGGTTACTTATGTGCTGGCAAGCTGATAAAATTGAAAGGCAATAAAAAAGTTGGACAAGCATTCCAGGGAAGCTAACAAAAGAATTCTTGATTTTGAACAACTTGGCTACATTATTAGGAAAAGATAGTCCATAAAGGTGTGTTCAATGGGAAACACTCTAATATAAGAAGATAACCAATGGGCTGGGCGCGGTGGCTCAAGCCTGTAATCCCAGCACTTTGGGAGGCTAAGGCGGGTGAATCACGCGGTCAAGAGATGAGACCATCCTGGTCAACATGGTGAAACCCCGTCTCTACTAAAGGTACAAAAAATTAGCTGGGTATGGTGGCGCGTGCCTGTAATTTCAGCTACTCAGGAGGCTGAGGCAGGAGAATTGCCTGAACCCAGGAGGCGGAGGTTGTGGTGAGCCGAGATCGCGCCATTGCACTCCAGCCTGGGTAACAAGAGCGAAACTCCGTCTCAAAAAAAAAAAGAAAAGAAAAGAAAAGAAAGAAGATAACCAATGAAAATGTCTGAGCCAGACTTCTTTCCACATAGTCTTACGTGATTCAATTACAAAACATTTTTTTCTTACCTGCTTATTGCCATCTTTGAATGCATATGCGATATTAAATTGGCTTTAATCTCTTCAGAAGGTCCTCCTACTAGTGCTGGAGTAAGCAGCCACAAAGGAAAACCTCTGTAGAGGAATTTCACTCCAGCAGAAAGAAGCAACCCCCTCATGACCAGATTGTTGTTTTCATTAATTCTGTGGAAAGTCCCTTCTCTTGTTCAGTCCTCTGCCTCTCCATTTGGCCTAATCCCCAACTGTAGTTTTCCGAGCCCTATGATGATTATTAATGTTATTGACTGCTATTTCAGACAGCCTAGGTTCAAGTCTTCATGAGTGAAATTTAGCCTTTCTAATCCATCTGCTTACGAAGGTTTCTCACAGATTCTTTTTCTTTAAGTTGTGACTTGGCACTTCGGTTTGGTCTGATTTGTTCTGTGACCTACGTACAAGCCATGTTTTTTAGTTGGAAACGGGCTTTTTGTTGGTGATCACTTACACATGTTGCTGTTTTCCCTTTGTTTCTCTGACTAGTCCATTCTAAAATCCCACAAATGATATGGTGAATTCAAATGTTTTTTTGAACCAGGTGAGAAAGTTTAGACTTATGTTTTTTAATGGACAGGTTTTTTCCGATGAAAGTTTTCAAGCTGTTTTCTTTTGAATTTTGCTCTTTTAAAATCCAGATGCTGTTTAAAATTAGTAGAAGGCATTTGAACTGTATGACTAAAAAAACATAAATTGCTAGTATTCAGTGACTTACATTTTTTTTAAGAGATGATGGCTAGCTATGTTGGCCAGGATGGTCTCGAAATCCTTACCTCAGGTAATCCACCCACCTCTGCCTCCCAAAGTGCTGGGATTACAGGGGTGCGACACTGCGCCTAGCCACTTGGTGACTTTTAAATGAAAAGAATTTGTACCACAAGAAGTTTATGCTATTGTAGAGCATTAATTAGTGAGGATATCTTAAATAAAGAAATCTCTTTCCATTCAAATTGGCTTGAATAAAAGAGAAGAACAGTTATAGATATTTCAGGCCAGTTTCAATGGTAGCTGCCAAAGTGGTCTAGAAGATCTTTGTATTAATCCATTTTCATGCTGCTGATAAAGTCATACCCGAGACTGGACAATTTTCAAAGGAAAGAGGCTTAATAGACTTACAGCTCCACGTGACTGAGGAAGCGTCACAATCATGGTGGAAAGTGAAAGGCACGTGTCACATGGTGGCAGACAAGAGAAGAGGGCTTGTGCAGGCAAATTCCCATTTTTAAAACCATCAGATTGGGAGACCTATTCACTATCATGAGAACAGCATGGGGAAACCCAACCCCATAATTCAGTTACCTCCCACCAGGTCCCTCCCACAACACATGGGAATTCAAGATGAGATTTAGGTGGGGACACAACCAAACCATATCAGTCCTTAACTATGTGGCAGTAAGGTAGAGATAATTGCAGAAAACAGAGACTTCTTAGTTTCCTGAGCGTAGGAGAAACCAGAGGAAGAGGGTCTTGAAGGTCTTTCTTGCCCATCATGTAAGCCATCTATTTTCCACCAGAATCTACAAAAGAGGCTAAAGGTCTAGCATTAAATGTTGAATTGAATTTTTAGTCTCAGTAAGAGTAAAAAGCCTTTCAAATCTCCTGGAAGTAACACAAAGTGATACCCCTCCCCCACCCTCACCTCCACAAACAGCAGTGTTAACCTTTCTGTGCCTCATTTCCCTCAACTTTAAGACATACCTCCTCATGACTTCCCATATAAATAAACAAAAATGGCTAAACAAGCCCTGATTGTCTCACAAACTATACAGCTTTGAATTCTCATCACAGGCTATTTCTATACAGCTAAAGTGAAGGAGAATGGAAGCTAATGTGGAGAATTGCCATCTCATGCTCAATTTTACTCTTGCAATGTTCACAGAATGACTATTTTTTGAAAACCTATTTATGTGTCCTGGATCCAGGGCCTGGTTAAGTAAATTTTTTAAAATAGATGTAATATAGGTGATACTTAGGAGCTCATTTGCTTCAAACTTCGACTGCCTCAAATCCACTGAAACAACTTGTGTTAAAATCAATAGTGTCCTCCTAATCCTCATTCCCACTGGACACTTTGCATTTATTATCTTCATTGACTTCTCTGGACCATATGGCCGTGTGCAAATGTGGGTCACTTTCTGAAGGTTGAAACTCTTTTTCCTTTTTCCTTTGCCAAGGTATTGTAGAAGAGACCAGGGTACAGATTCTGGAATCAGATAAATTTAATTCCAACCCTACCATCTTCTAGCTGGTAGTCTTAGTCAACTGTCTTGAACTTTCCGTGCCTCGGTATCCTATCTTAAAAATGAAGATAATAGGCCGGGCACGGTGGCTCAAGCCTGTAATCCCAGCACTTTGGGAGGCCGAGGCAGGTGGATCACGAGGTCAACAGATCTAGACCATCTTGGTCAACATGGTAAAACCCCGTCTCTACTAAAATTACAAAAAAATTAGCTGGACACGGTGGTGCGTCCCTGTAATCCCAGCTGCTCGGGAGGCTGAGGCAGGAGAATTGCCTGAACCCAGGAGGCGGAGATTGCGGTGAGCCGAGATCGCGCCATTGCACTCCAGCCTGGGTAACAAGAGCGAAACTCCGTCTCAAAAAAAAAAAAAAAATGAGGATAATAGAACTTATTCTATAAGGTTGTTTACCTTATGCACAATGTTTAAACAGAGCTCTCCCACATAAATGGCATCCAGTAAATATTAGCTTAATTATTCATAACACCAGTTTCCTTCCTTATTCTAATTATTGTCTCACGATCTCCTTCACTGGTACTGAAGTATGAAATCAGTGTCCTTGTCTCTTCTTGCTGTACATAATCACTTTCTATGAGCTCATTTACCTCAAACCTTCACATGCAATCATTAGGTAAAAGCTTCTTAAATCTCAGTGTCCGGCTAGACCTCTCTCTTGAGCGCTGAGCTCTCTCTCCAACTCTTCAATGCACAAGTTCCCCTTAGTTGCACCATCGGTGCCTCATATTTAATATGCCCAAAGAGGAGTGCATCATCAACCTGTTTCCTGGAACTTCAGCCACCAGAGATGATGGCATTCCCATCAAAACAATGTGATAGGGAAATCAAGGTGTGGGTGTTCAGCGAATGCTGAGTGTTCTTCATCTAGGCTCTAGCAAAGGGTGGCTGTGGAAAGGCCAAGAGACTTCATTCTGAGTAGGTATAATTAGCTTAGATTTTTACAAAACTTGCTTATGATTCTGGATTCCATTCTGTAGTAAATAGAGAATTATTGAAAATTTATGATAGAACAGTTCCTAAAAATGATTGTCACATGTTTCTAGCTCTCATGTCCAGGAGCTACACACTTTACTGACATCAGGGATGATCTCCAGTCTCTTCCTTTATGTTCTATGTATCTCTATCAAGAACAAAATGTCTGTTGCTCTCAGTTACTCTATGAGTAGCCAGACAAGGTTCAATATGTGAATGAATCTTTTCCACAATAGAAACCCAAAAACTGGCTGAGCTGGCTTCATGCCTCTTTCTGAAATCTGCACTGCAATCAAATAATCCATTTCCAGTTATAAGACATCAGGCCAGTCTGATAGCTATTGTTTCATGGCTAGTTATGCTGTGCCATTTTAACTTATACACGGGAGTATATTTTTCAGATTTTGTGAGTCACAGTAGTGTTTACTATTAGTCATCTCAATAGATAATAGAGTCCCATTTCTTGTTTTGTTTTTGTTTTTGTTTTTGTTTTTGAGATGGAGTTTCGCTCTTGTTACCCAGGCTGGAGTGCAACAGTGCGATCTCGGCTCACCGCAACCTCCGCCTCCTGGGTTCAGGCAATTCTCGTGCCTCAGCCTCCCGAGTAGCTGGGATTACAGGCACGCGCCACCATGCCCAGTTAATTTTTTTTGTATTTTTAGTAGAGACGGGGTTTCACCATGTTGACCAGGATGGTCTCGATCTCTTGACCTCGTGATCCAGCTGCCTCGGCCTCCCAAAGTGCTGGGATCACAGGCATGAGCCACTGCGCCCGGCCCTAGTCCCATTTCTTCTATCAATATACTCATGTAGAAAAAGTCCTCAGGCCAGGATCCAAAGTGTATGCTTACCGATGATAATTTAAGTCATCCTAGAGAGTTGGCAGTAATGTCTTACAACTCATAGGAAATGGCCTCAAGGAATCTTTGCTTTGTCATGTAGTAAGAAAATGTAACACAAGTCATAGAAGGTGTCCTGCCCCGAACCATCACCCCAGCACAGTATACGGTAGCACCAGACAAAAGATTATAACCATG